TGTTCCTCACGTGTGCCCCAAAGAATGAGGTGATTTGATAAAATGCTATGCCCAAGATTACCATCCGAGTGCCGGCGGGGAAGTGGTTCATATAGCCTCGGCTATCACTTCCTTTTGTCCGGTCGTGATGGTCAAGTGGATTAAGGCGTCCCTGTACATACCAGTTGTGGGAGTATGGGTTCGAGTCACTTCTGGGGTGTGAGTTTTCAGTTGTATATAGTCCTGGGGACCATTCAGGCTTGTTTGCATATATATATATATATATATATATATATATATATATATATATATATATATATATATATATATATATATATATATATATATATATATATATATATATATATATATATATATATATATATATATATATATATATATATATATATATGTGTTTATTATTTTCTGGTTTAGGGCTTCTATCCCTCTAACTATTTTCTTAGCATCAGGGCTAAGAAAATAGCCCTGTATTCACCTTTATTGTATTATCACCTGACCCAGTGTGGGTATAAAATCAACTAGTATTGTAAGATCTGTTCACTTGAGAATGAACCATGGAGATTCGAAACGTTGTGCAAATTATATAAATAAGTGTAATACACTCTATAGTAAATCACTTCTTTTCTTCACCTCAAAAGTACGAAAATGAGTTTTGGAGAACTCCTATTTCAATTAAGCCCTGATGCTAAGAAAATAGTTAGAGGGATAGAAGCTCTAAACCAGAAAATAATAAACACAGAATATGCGGTCATATTCAATGAAACATGTTTGAAAGAAAACCTGCTGCCAGTATACACACACACATATATATATATATATATATATATATATATATATATATATATATATATATATATATATATATATATATATATATATATATGTCGTACCTAGTAGCCAGAACGCACTTCTCAGCCTACTATGCAAGGCCCGATTTGCCTAATAAGCCAAGTTTTCATGAATCAATATATTTTCTCTAATTTTTATCTTATGAAATGATAAAGCTACCCATTTCATTATGTATGAGGTCAATTTTTTTTATTGGAGTTAAAATTAACGTAGATATATGACCGAACCTAACCAACCCTACCTAACCTAACCTAACCTATCTCTATAGGTTAGGTTAGGTTAGGTAGCCGAAAAAGTTAGGTTAGGTTAGGTTAGGTAGTCGAAAAACAATTAATTCATGAAAACTTGGCCTATTAGGCAAATTGGGCCTTGCATAGTAGGCTGAGAAGTGCGTTCTGGCTACTAGGTACGACATATATATATATATATATATATATATATATATATATATATATATATATATATATATATATATATATATATATATATATATATATAACTTTTTAACACTCAACCCACCAGGAGACTCGAACCCTGGCCCACAGAATGGCAGGTACACACTGTATCCATTGCACCATACTTCAAAGCCATAAGAGAGGTGGGTTGAGTGTTAAAAAGTTATAAACTTCAGCTTGCGAGTTATTAGGCAAGTCTGTGCATATATATATATATATATATATATATATATATATATATATATATATATATATATATATATATATATATATATATATATATATATATATATATATATAAAGGCCGCTGCTTTAACGAGCCTGGCCTGGGAACAGGTAGACAAGACATACACGAAAGACCCGCCTGGATCACGCTGGCCACAGGGGAGGGGGTCGGTGTGGCAGGTTATGCTGTTGTTACTGGTTTAATTTTTGAATTTTAAGAGTGTCTCTCATTCCATTATTGAGATTATTCGTTGTAGTTCCCTGGTGGACATGAGTCCAGGACGATGCAGACCTGCGTAATGGACGTCAGTCATGTTCCACCTGGGAAAACTATTCCATTATGTGATACGTTGAACGGAAGTGACAGGAATATAAGGAGAGCTGAAGCTGCATCATCGACTCTGCCAGAAGTACCTCAATACTGAGTGTTATCCACAACCTGAGTTTGCTACTGTGTTTGATGGTATATATATTTACAAATGTTCATCATGATGATAACCCTTCCCAGTTTAGCGTGACACCGATTCGTGCTGCTAAAAGGCCTTATTTACCAGAGGATTAAGAAATATTGAAATGTTACAACATAGAGCGCAGCTAAGACAAGGCGGAGGCCTCATGCGCTCGTTTTCTGTAGTGAAGGAGGAGGAGGAAACAGAGGCGGATGTGTTGGGTAACTTGTCAGTACCGAGGAAGGTATCAGTAGACAAGAGCATCATCAAACTAAGCCAAGACCTCAGCATGCAGCCCGTTCTCGCCAGCGTTCCCAACGTCAAGAAACCGTCGTACTAGAGCACCCTAATCTAACCAACCAGGGGATCCACGAACAGAAAACGGGACATTGTCAATTTCACGAGCCTCTACCATTTTCTGTCACATCAATGTTTGGCGTCAGATAAAGTGTAGGTCAAAATGCGGCGCGGTGTAAAGAGCACAGGTTGGTGCAGGAGGGCTGGCGTCGGGCGGGGCGAGGCTCCGCACCCGTTCCTCTCCACTAACCCTGACACCCGCCTGGATCACCCACAAAGCCACACTCCAGTACGCCCATGACGTACGGCACCTGTCAATACCACATACTAGAGGCTGGGAGTCACACCACGGTGTACCTTGTCATTTCAGAGAGAACTCGATTCGTTAGTTCAACAATTCATAGTCTTCTGTTTGGGTAACGGAACAAAAGCTTTTAGATATCTTGAGGTTATCTTGAGATGATTTCGGGGCTTTTAGTGTCCCCGCGGCCCGGTCCTCGACCAGGCCTCTACCCCCAGGAAGCAGCCTGTGACAGCTGACTAACACCCAGGTACCTATTTTACTGCTAGGTAACAGGGGCATAGGGTGAAAGAAACTCTGCCCATTATTTCTCGCCGGCGCCTGGGATCGAACTCAGGACCACAGGATCACAAGTCCAGCGTGCTGTCCGCTCGGCCGACCGGCTACCTGGATTGTCCAACATAGTGGATAGCTGTGTGTATGTATATTTTTATTTGGACTGAAGTGCATTAACTGATATATTTTCCATTGTTTCTTTTATATTACAAACCAAAATGTAAAACAAATGTTTGTTATTATACACAAGCTGTTTAATAGTACATACAATCTTAAGTAGTCCAAACACCCTGGCTGTGACTCGAACCTCCACTCCCGTGATGCAAAGCTGAGTGCTCCACCAGTATCTTCAAGGAGGGGATACAAGCCAGGGGCCCAGGGAGGGGATACAAGCCAGGGGGCCCAGGGAGGGGATACAAGCCAGGGGGCCCAGGGAGGGGATACAAGCCAGGGGGCCCAGGGAGGGGATACAAGCCAGGGGGCCCAGGGAGGGGATACAAGCCAGGGGGCCCAGGGAGGGGATACAAGCCTAGGGGCCTAGGGAGGGGATACAAGCCTAGGGGCCTAGGGAGGGGATACAAGCCAGGGGCCCAGGGAGGGGATACAAGCCAGGGGCCCAGGGAGGGGATACAAGCCTAGGGGCCCAGGGAGGGGATACAAGCCAGGGGGCCCAGGGAGGGGATACAAGCCAGGGGGCCCAGGGAGGGGATACAAGCCAGGGGGCCCAGGCAGGGGATACAAGCCAGGGGGCCCAGGCAGGGGATACAAGCCAGGGGGCCCAGGGAGGGAATACAAGCCTAGGGGCCTAGGGAGGGGATACAAGCCAGGGGGGCCAGGGAGGGGATACAAGCCAGGGGGCCCAGGGAGGGGATACAAGCCAGGGGGCCCAGGCAGGGGATACAAGCCAGGGGGCCCAGGGAGGGGATACAAGCCAGGGGGCCCAGGGAGGGGATACAAGCCAGGGGGCCCAGGGAGGGGATACAAGCCAGGGGGCCCAGGCAGGGGGCCCAGGGAGGGGATACAAGCCAGGGGGCCCAGGCAGGGGGCCCAGGGAGGGGATACAAGCCCGGGGGCCCAGGGAGGGGATACAAGCCAGGGGGCCCAGGGAGGGGATACAAGCCAGGGGGCCCAGGGAGGGGATACAAGCCAGGGGGCCCAGGGAGGGGATACAAGCCAGGGGGCCCAGGCAGGGGATACAAGCCAGGGGGCCCAGGCAGGGGATACAAGCCAGGGGGCCCAGGCAGGGGATACAAGCCAGGGGGCCCAGGGAGGGGATACAAGCCAGGGGGCCCAGGGAGGGGATACAAGCCAGGGGCCCAGGCATGGGGCCCAGGGGGTGGATACAAGCCAGGGGCCCCAGGCAGGGGGCCCAGGGAGGGGATACAAGCCAGGGGGCCCAGGCAGGGGGCCCAGGGAGGGGATACAAGCCAGGGGGCCCAGGCAGGGGGCCCAGGGAGGGGATACAAGCCAGGGGGCCCAGGCAGGGGATACAAGCCAGGGGGCCCAGGGAGGGGATACAAGCCAGAGGGGCCCAGGCAGGGGGATACAAGCCAGGGGGCCCAGGCAGGGGATACAAGCCAGGGGGCCCAGGGAGGGGATACAAGCCAGGGGGCCCAGGCAGGGGATACAAGCCAGGGGGCCCAGGCAGGGGATACAAGCCAGGGGGCCCAGGCAGGGGATACAAGCCAGAGGGCCCAGGCAGGGGATACAAGCCAGAGGGCCCAGGCAGGGGATACAAGCCAGAGGGCCCAGGCAGGGGATACAAGCCTATAATGCGTCCCCAAACATCTGCTTATCAGTGTATTTTTCGCAGCAAGGCTCGTCAATCGTCGCTAGAGGTACGGAGGCCAGGGTGACGGGGAAGCGTTCCGCTTACATATGTACCTGTATATTTTCCTTGTATGTAGTGCGCCATACATGGTGTTGTGAAGTTTTGTTAGGCCTGGGTTACTAACATTTATACGTGAAATTTTTGCCTTTTTTACTAACAAAAAAAAAAAAGATTTTTGTGTTAGTAAAAGATTTTTACTAACACTGATCAAGATCTTTTTGTCATTCAGATTTGACAAATTCAACGCTATTGAGATAATATTTTGTTCATTAACATCACCTCTACTCGAACCCCCAACTTATGTCAGCATTAAATACCTGTTGCCAGTCTCTAGTGTTCCATCCAGGGCCCAGGATGGAACCGTAGGTGCTCGTGGGTCCCAGGATGGAACCGCAGGTACTCGTGGGTCCCAGGATGGAACCGCAGGTACTCGTAGGTCCCAGGATGGAACCGTAGGTACTCGTAGGTCCCAGGATGGAACCGTAGGTACTCGTAGGTCCCAGGATGGAACCGTAGGTACTCGTAGGTCCCAGGATGGAACCGTAGGTACTCGTAGGTCCCAGGATGGAACCGTAGGTGCTCGTGGGTCCCAGGATGGAACCGTAGGTACTCGTGGGTCCCAGGATGGAACCGTAGGTGCTCATGGGTCCCAGGATGGAACCGCAGGCACTCGTGGGGCCCAGGATGGAACCGTAGGTGCTCATGGGTCCCAGGATGGAACCGTAGGTGCTCGTAGGTCCCAGGATGGAACCGCAGGCACTCGTGGGGCCCAGGATGGAACCGCAGGTACTCGTGGGGCCCAGGATGGAACTGTAGGTACTCGTGGGTCCCAGGATGGAACCGCAGGTACTCGTGGGTCCCAGGATGGAACCGTAGGTACTCGTGGGTCCCAGGATGGAACCGTAGGTACTCGTGGGTCCCAGGATGGAACCGTAGGTACTCGTGGGTCCCAGGATGGAACCGTAGGTACTCGTGGGTCCCAGGATGGAACCGTAGGTACTCGTGGGCCCCAGGATGGAACCGCAGGCACTCGTGGGTCCCAGGATGGAACCGTAGGTACTCGTAGGTCCCAGGATGGAACCGTAGGTGCTCGTGGGTCCCAGGATGGAACCGTAGGTGCTCGTGGGTCCCAGGATGGAACCGTAGGTACTCGAGGGTCCCAGGATGGAACCGTAGGTACTCGTGGGTCCCAGGATGGAACCGTAGGTGCTCGTGGGTCCCAGGATGGAACCGTAGGTGCTCGTGGGTCCCAGGATGGAACCGTAGGTGCTCATGGGTCCCAGGATGGAACCGTAGGTGCTCATGGGTCCCAGGATGGAACCGTAGGTGCTCATGGGTCCCAGGATGGAACCGTAGGTGCTCATGGGTCCCAGGATGGAACCGCAGGTGCTCGTGGGTCCCAGGATGGAACCGTAGGTGCTCGTGGGTCCCAGGATGGAACCGTAGGTGCTCATGGGTCCCAGGATGGAACCGCAGGTGCTCGTGGGTCTCAGGATGGAACCGTAGGTGCTCGTGGGTCCCAGGATGGAACCGTAGGTGCTCGTGGGTCCCAGGATGGAACCGTAGGTGCTCGTGGGTCCCAGGATGGAACCGTAGGTGCTCATGGGTCCCAGGATGGAACCGTAGGTGCTCATGGGTCCCAGGATGGAACCGTAGGTGCTCATGGGTCCCAGGATGGAACCGCAGGTGCTCGTGGGTCCCAGGATGGAACCGTAGGTGCTCGTGGGTCCCAGGATGGAGCCGTAGGTGCTCATGGGTCCCAGGATGGAACCGTAGGTGCTCGTGCGTCCCAGGATGGAACCGTAGGCACTCGTGGGTCCCAGGATGGAACCGTAGGTACTCGTGGGTCCCAGGATGGAACCGGAGGTACTCGTAGGTCCCAGGATGGAACCATAGGTACTCGTAGGTCCCAGGATGGAACCGTAGGTACTCGTAGGTCCCAGAATGGAACCGGAGGTACTCGTAGGTACCAGGATGGAACCGTAGGTACTCGTAGGTCCCAGGATGGAACCGTAGGCACTCGTAGGTCCCAGGATGGAACCGTAGGTACTCGTAGGTCCCAGGATGGAACCGTAGGCACTCGTAGGTCCCAGGATGGAACCGTAGGCACTCGTAGGTCCCAGGATGGAACCGTAGGCACTCGTAGGTCCCAGGATGGAACCGTAGGTACTCGAGGGTCCCAGGATGGAACCATAGGTACTCGTAGGTCCCAGAATGGAACCGGAGGTACTCGTAGGTCCCAGGATGGAACCGTAGGTACTCGTAGGTCCCAGGATGGAACCGTAGGTACTCGTAGGTCCCAGGATGGAACCGTAGGTACTCGTAGGTCCCAGGATGGAACCGTAGGTACTCGAGGGTCCCAGGATGGAACCATAGGTACGGTACTCGTAGGTCCCAGAATGGAACCGTAGGTACTCGTGGGTCCCAGGATGGAACCGTAGGTACTCGTAGGTCCCAGGATGGAACCGTAGGTACTCGTGGGTCCCAGGATGGAACCGTAGGTACTCGTAGGTCCCAGGATGGAACCGTAGGTACTCGTAGGTCCCAGGATGGAACCGTAGGTACTCGTGGGTCCCAGGATGGAACCGTAGGTACTCGTAGGTCCCAGGATGGAACCGTAGGTACTCGTGGGTCCCAGGATGGAACCGTAGGTACTCGTGGGTCCCAGGATGGAACCGTAGGTACTCGTAGGTCCCAGGATGGAACCGTAGGTACTCGTAGGTCCCAGGATGGAACCGTAGGTACTCGTGGGTCCCAGGATGGAACCGCAGGTGCTCGTGGGTCCCAGGATGGAACCGTAGGTGCTCGTGGGTCCCAGGATGGAACCGTAGGTGCTCGTGGGTCCCAGGATGGAACCGTAGGTACTCGTGGGTCCCAGGATGGAACCGTAGGTGCTCGTGGGTCCCAGGATGGAACCGTAGGTACTCGTGGGTCCCAGGATGGAACCGTAGGTGCTCGTGGGTCCCAGGATGGAACCGTAGGTGCTCGTGGGTCCCAGGATGGAACCGTAGGCACTCGTAGGTCCCAGGATGGAACCGTAGGTACTCGAGGGTCCCAGGATGGAACCGTAGGCACTCGTAGGTCCCAGGATGGAACCGTAGGTACTCGTGGGTCCCAGGATGGAACCGTAGGTACTCGTAGGGCCCAGGATGGAACCGAAGGTACTCGTGGGTCCCAGGATGGAACCGTAGGTACTCGTGGGTCCCAGGATGGAACCGTAGGTACTCGTAGGTCCCAGGATGGAACCGTAGGTACTCGTAGGTCCCAGGATGGAACCGTAGGTACTCGTAGGTCCCAGGATGGAACCCTTCACACTCGTCTTTCTACAATATCTCAATTGAGTTTCAGTCTCTTTAAGCCAATTCTCTGTTTCCTTTTAAACAACTATGTTCTTATCCAACGTAGGATAAGACTCTCAATACCAAGAGACTTTACCTTTGTGATCAGTGTTCCGCGAGGCTCAGCATCAACTGCTTGGAGTAGACAGGTTTGTGATCCACGCCACTGTCCGCTGTCTTAAAGATCAGGAGAAGAACGAGAGCAAACCTGAGCAACAAACAAACAAACTTAGAAATGTAATGTTATCCCGCCAAACACACACCGAAACTACGACGTTGGTACAACGTTCGAACAAGTTTAACACCGCCTAACCAGTTATAACAACCAATATAGCAAGTTGTAACAACGTTCTAATACGTCATAAACACGTTAAGCCAAGATGTAACCACTTTATTACAAGTTGTAACAAGCGGAAAATAGAGACAGTTACGGTTTGTGTTTCAAGGGATGGGACCTTTATTAATCTATTTGTTAATGTGTATATAATTTTTTGTTATTGTTTAAAGCAATGTTCACATAATACATATTAAGTTAACTGACCGATAATTGGATGCAGGTGATCAATTCCCCGATGTTAGAAACCGACGCCATATTCCAATGGTGTCAACCTTCCGGTATTCCGTTCTCTGCTCGACATTAATGATACATTAAACATAAATGACTCGCTAAGCTCATGCTTAAATTTGTTTAGAAGTCTCTTGTAAATGCTTCTTCATCAGGTCATGGAGATTTGGGCCTGAATTTGTTTTTAGTTTTTAATAACTTCCTCTCTGGTAACTACTGAAGAATTACATTTTTGTATTATCATCTGCATATATTTGTTCACGTTTAACAAAATGTCAAGTTCTTCTGTAATAAATATAGAGACAAAGTACTTACTGACATTGCCACACATTTCAGCGAGGGTGATGGCGATGGAATAGATTTCAGTGTACCTGGTTGATACCTGGTTACCTGGTTGATGGGGTTCTGGGAGTTCTTCTACTCCCCAAGCCCGGCCCGAGGCCAGACTTGACTTGTGAGAGTTTGGTCCACCAGGCTGTTGCTTGGAGCGGCCCGCAGGCCCACATATCCACCACAGCCATTCTGACCGTAATGTTAACTGGAAGAAGGCCAAGGATCCCATCAGTGAGACTGGTCCTAACTAACTGCCGCCTCACACACAGTTCTACACTCTGAGTCCCAACCTATAATTTGCTGCACCAAATGTTCTGGGGCCAGATTCACGTAGCAGTTACGCAAGCACTTACGAACGTGTACATCTTTCCTCAATCTTTGACGGCTTTGGTTACATTTATTAAACAAGTTATTAGCATGGACACTCCCCCAATCAACTGCTGTTGTTATTGTTATAAACAGCCTCCTGATGCTTCGGAGCTCATTAACTGTTTAATAATTGTAAACAGAGCCGCCAAAGATTGAGAAACGATGTACAGGTTCGTGAGTGCTTGCGTAACTGCTTCGTGAATCAGGCTTCTGGCTCGCTGTTAGCCTGTCAGATACACAACACAGTGATGTGGCCATTGAAGAATGCTCTCGATTATGTATTTCTAAATAATTATTTCACATATTCAAATTACTTAAAAATAAATTCGCCATTAAAGGAGTGAGAGAGAGTTGCAGATCAAATTACACGTTCCCGGACCCACGGAGCATGAATTGCAGAGCAGGTGACATTATTGGCGCCCCCCCCCCCCCCCCCCCCCCCCCCCCCCCCCCCCCCCCGAGGCCGCCGGTAACGAGGTCTCCTCGGGGGTGAAGTCCCGTATGTAGTCTACAGGCACGACAGTGTCGGGCCCCGGCTGCAGTAACACTCTACGATGGACTCAACTCACTATATATAAATATAATATATTTGGTAACCAATTCCATATTCCACCCGGGTTCGTTTCCCAGGGTAATTAGGGCAAGTCAAATGCGGCTTGATTTAGCGACCTTCTTTATACCAGTATTGTGCTCGTCTATATGTTAAAGCAGAGTGCAAATTAAACTACGTCCATGTCACTAATTTCCCTTGTGTGTTGCCACCGCCCACGGTATGGGTATGGGGTGCATAATAAAGAAAGAAATTGAAAATTGTGTTGGCTACACCTCAAAGAAAAGACAAGAGTGTCGCTGGCTTCCCTTGGTGGCGTGCGGAAGATAATATCCACCCTGGGTTATGGCACCTGTCAATCTTCGCTTCACTCTAGTCGCTTCACTGTGACACACCTCTTGCCAGCCACTAATCTCGTACATGATTAATATCACTAAACACGTAATGCAGGACTTGCGTCTATCCCAGTTGGAGTAATGTCAGCCTCCGCCGCCAGGGCCGCTACAGGCACAGTTACAGCAGCTGGTGCTGGGGTGCTCTCCCTAACACAGCCAGCGGCCCGGGCGTCTCCCAGGAGGTCTTTATGTATTTCACCATTTGTGTCTGCAGAACCCAGCTATTTAGCTCTTGGACCCCGCCTTTCTAGCCAATCTATCTTTTCTCTATTATGTCTACTACATATATTTCTCTCTAACACACGCCGTCACCCCGTTTTCGCACTTGCTTTTAGTCAATATTGGCTTATTTAATAAGTGCATATGTGACATACTAATTGATTGTGAATATTTTAGTTTACCTTGAAAAGCTTCATAGAAAACACCGACCTCACCTAACCTTCTTAGTATGTTAAGATAAGCATCTTATTGCTTCTTATTTAAAATTATTACTTAACCTATCAACGGTATAAGTTAAGTAATAGCCCGCAGCAGCTGTCTAACTCCCAGGTAACTGTTTACTGCTATGTGAACAGGTGCATCAGGGTGAAAGAAACACTGCCCATTTGTTTCCGCCTCCGCCGATTCCGGAAACAAATCTATGCATGTATGTACTCACCTAGTTGTACTTGCGGGGTTGAGCTGTGGCTCTTTGGTGCCGCCTCTCAACTGTCAATCAACTGGTGTACAGATTCCTGAGCCTACTGGGCTCTATCATATCTACACTTGAAACTGTGTATGGAGTCAGCCTCCACCACATCACTGCCTAATGCATTCCATCTGTTAACAACTCTGACACTGAAAAAGTTCGTTCTAACGTCCCTGTGGCTCATTTGGGTACTCAGTCTCCACCTGTGTCCCCTTGTTCGCGTACCACCAGTGTTAAACAGTTTATCCTTTTCAACCCTGTCAATTCCTCTGAGAATTTTGTAGGTAGTAATCATGTCTTCCCATACTCTTATATGTATGTATGTACATATAGCCCTTATATGTATGTATGTATGTATGTATGTATGTATGTATGTATGTATGTATGTATGTATGTATGTATGTATGTATGCATGTATGCATGTATGCATGTATGTATGTATGTATGTATGTATGTATGTATGTATGTATGTATGTATGTATGTATGTATGTATGTATGCATGCATGTATGCATGTATGTATGTATGTATGTAGATATCCCCATTGCAACTAGAGGTTGGACTCTTCTTCCTTGTATGTGTGTGATTGTGTATTTACTATTTGTAACACTACACGTGTGTGTGTGGACGGCTGCACGAGAACACATTATATCACAACACCACAGCTGCACAGCTCCAAGCTGCACAGCTCCAAGCTGCACAGCTCCAAGCTGGTTAACATATCGTCACAATAATGTACCTGAGGAAGAGGAGGATTGTTTACACATTCACGATGCAAGACCTAGACACTGTGTATAAGTACCACACGTGGCCAGCTCCCAGCGGTGTGTGAGGCTGGAGTACATGTTAACTTGACCATTCCTCACATAGATAAATAGCACCATAGTCAACATTATTACTAGTAAGGTTAGGTTAGGTTAGGTTAGGTTAGAAATCATCTCCTTATCTTGAAATGATTTCGGGGCTTAGCGGCCCGGTCCTCGACCAGGCCTCCTATTTGTTACACACCCACAGGATTCAGCCCGTAGCAGCTGTCTAACTCCCAGGTACCTATTTATTGCCAGGTAACAGGGGAAACAGGGTGAAAGAAACATTTTGCTCATTTGTCTCCGCCTCCACCGGGGATCGAACCCGGAACCTCAGGACTACGAATCCGAAGCGCTGTCCAACCAGCTGTCAGGCGCACTACAGTCGGGTTCGTTCTCGACGCACAATCGAGAATTCCGGGTTCGAATCCCGGGCGGGACAGAAAGGGTTGGGCACATTTCCTTTCACCTAATGCCTCTGTCGCCTAGCACTGGGTAGGGACTGAGGAGTTAGTCAGCGTGTTGTGGAGGGTCTTCCTGGGCGGGGTCAGTAACCCGACCTTGGGGGAGGGTGTGGGGGGGGGAATGACTTCGATAAGAGCCAAATGTGTATGAATACACTCTGGCTTCCTGTCCCTCGAAACAGTGAATTATTCTAATTCTAATCACGTTGCCATCTTGCAGGAGAGCCATGGCGTGCCAGGAGAGAGGTGCGGGCTGGCAGCTCAGCCCAGCAGTCAACATGGTGGTCACCTTCATGGTAAGAACGTCTCCACCGTCATCTTACTTATGTTATCTTCACACACCGAGTATAACAGTACGTGAACACATTATGGAGAACGTTCTCCTTGCTATATATCATTATGGTTTTGTTATGTTTAGTAAGAAGTGTGTTGTGCTACAGGCAGTGTGTCGGTGCCTGCTGCCAGCCGCTGCCTCGCCCAGCAGCGGCCACCACACACTCTTTGTCACACTGCCCACCATCCCCGAGGCCGCCCCGACCTTACAGCCTGGCGCAGACCTGCAGGAGGGCCAGGACACCACCACGGGCGTCCCCGTCACCCTCCCACCCTCCGGCGAGCCTAGGTCCTCTCCCCTCCGCCTCCCACCCAAGGATACCAAGGTTAGTGCCACACTCTTCCTCCACACATTAATGGTCTACCAAACAGTTTTTAACGTACCTTCTTTCTTGAAATTTCTGGAGCAATGATTCCGAAACGAATGGTCTCTATATTTCTTATGTCATTCTTCACAAACGTTGAAACGTTCAGTGTAATTCGAACTTTGTCGGTACAATTTTTCAACTTGCTCTTCAAGTGAAGAACGTCCACTCACAAGATGAGTGGCGCTGCCCAATAAACTCGCCCCTCGGGGCAAAATTTAAATTTTAACATAACAAATATAGAGAAAATTCTTGCTCGAATCACGGCCTAATCCTTTTCTCTCATATTCTTAACACATAAGAACAAGAGAGAATGGGGAGACACTTCATTCACTTGGATCACCGGAAATTCGAGCCGGGTCCTGTAGAACACGAGAACGTAACTTGTTGGGAAGAGTAACAGCCTCGTACTGGGTAGCGAGGCCTAAGAGAGTAGTTACTATTGGAGGTGCTATCCTGGAACTGGGATGACGTCATGAGGCAACCACCTCACACAGTACCAGTGGTAGTGTACCCACCACCCAGGAGAGTACAGTTGTATAGTTTGCTGAACACCTGTACAGGGAATTATCTCATACCCCCAAGGATAACAATATATATGTTATGTTACCAACAATATTTACCAACATACACACCCAATGTGTGCAAACAACTCAAACGTAAACATTTTACAACAAACAACCACACACACACGGTTGAGAGACGGGACCAAAGAGCCAGAGCTCAACCCCCGCAAGCACAACTAGGTGAGTACACGACTAACTACGAGCAAACACCAGTAAATAACCCACATCAATACATGCTTTAACATATAATTAAAACCTTTGCATCTTTTCAATTTCCTGATGATACAAAATGCCGCAGATGAGCTTCCTGGCAGACGACTTCGCGGCGGCTTCGCGGGCCGCAGAGCTGCAGACCAGCGGGTCAGACCGCTCGGGCGGGCTGGACGACCAGGCCCTCTTCCCCAACACCCGCTCCAGACCCAGGAACCCTCAGGCCGCCAGGGTTCCCACCGACACCACCGGCAGGAATGCCGGCGGAGGAAAGGATTACCTCGATCTGGCTCTTGACTCGGAATCTTCGCCGGATCCGCAAGAGGACCTCAAGGTTATTAACTAATGTTCTATCTATGGTTTCTTGTCACAAGACGACCCAGCTCAATATAGTTTTCTCTTCTTAAAAGGTTTCAGTGTTATTACAGGTAATCGGGAGCAGTCATCTAACAGGTGTAGTGGGGTGAATGGTCATAAGTTTGAAACACTTATAAGTTTGAAATGCTATTTTTTTTTTATAATTTCGGGCTGAGCTAATCTCCAGAATATAACCTTATTTCTACCTCTACTACACCTTACTTTGCTCCTCATCTCTCTCTTGCCTATTTATTGTCAGCAACTACTTCCTCATCAAAGATTAAGCCACCCTCTTGGGTGGCTTAATCTTTATCAATCTTCCTCATCACAATCGACTTGAGAATGGTCCAGGACGGACCGAAACGTCGTCGTCCCTTCACCTTCTAGTGTGTGGTCTGGTCAACTTATTTCTACCGTTGTGTCGTACATGTCCCACTGTATGAGGGAGATGTACAGCCTTGAGAAGCTTTACACCTCAAGGTTGTGGAAAACTTGTGGAGATCAACACTTCGAGTCCCACCCCATCAGGAGGATGGTTTGGTGTTAGGCTTAAAGCCAACCGCAGGAGGGGGTTAATTACGTCACCACAATAGTTTAGTGACCAACCAGCAAGTATACTTTAGTCCTGAACACTGTCCAGGGCTAAATTATACTCTCATGGAATATACGGTGAGAAACGGGGTTAACCTCTCGATATAGAGTATATTTGTTGATGTGTTTGATGAGGTTACCATCTTACCCCTTTTACCATGTGTAAATCAAATATATTAAAATAAATCAACTTTTATACTTTGAAATTATATATTAAAATATGACAAGCACAATACAAAATCTCAACATTTATATATTCAAATATTCAACACATAATAATTAAGCAAATTATCCTTACTATATCATTAATTTCCTGGTACGAATTATTATTTATTAACATTAGAAGATGTAGTAGAGCGCTCATGTTTTATTGAACAAAATTATAAATGTTGTAAATGCTTTTCCTTATGCCGGACGATGTTATATGAACATAATGTTAATCATTAGTAATTTTTTTACAAAAATTATATAATTTTTAGTGTTATTTTCCCCTCTGAGTAAAGATCATGATATTTGCATTGACCGAAGCTATAAGAGAACTCATTAAATTCCACTATGTTGACCTCTTAATCATAAAGACAATTCAAGAATTTGATCAAGATGCACCACAGGTAGACACTCTTTAACATTCAGCTCAAAATACAGACAAAACCCCCTTGCACCATAACACAAGTGTGAGTAAAGATGATCTGTGTCTGCCGTGAACAGGTCGGGTCCCGCCACCACACCGGCTTCCACCGCCCCAGCCTCTACAGTCACCTGCCTCCCCGCCAGCCCTCCAGGACCCGCCCCTCTAACTTCCTCCCGCCCGGGGCCTCCGTCATCGACAAGGACCCCTTGTACAGCCTCTACTCAGGCCTCCGCCCCGAGGTGCTCAAGAGGCCCTACCTAAACATGACTAGAGTACTCAGTAAGTAGCAGCACCTCCACGGAGGCATAATTATCACAGAGAGCATTGTTGAGTTGATTGGTGGCCAGACTGCTCACTCTATGGGCTTGGGTTACGTGCTGGACTTAATCATTCGCCATTATAAAACCACCATAAAAGCTTACTAACCACCAGCAATTGTATTCTAACCCCTGAACATAGTCCAGGACTAGAGTACACTGAGTGAGTACATGTACACCGAGAAAAGGAATATATACTTCTCGGTCTATAGAGCTATGGAGCTCTGTGGGTCATTACTGCTGGGTGGTGAGTGACCACACTGACCTCAGTGGCTGTGGCAAATTAATAATTAGTTTCTTGTGTGGTGAGTGACTAAAGATGAGTAGATGAAACACTAGTGTGATGAGTGTTAACAGTGAGTAAATGACAAGTGACACACTAGTGTGATGGTGAGTATATAGCCACCTTGAGTGTGCCTCTGTTGTATGGAACGACTAGACATGTATTAACGTGTGATGACCACTATGACGTCTATGGTGCCCACTATGACGTATACTGACGTCTATGGTGCCCACTATGACGTGTACTGACGTCTATGGTGCCCACTATGACGTATACTGACGTCTATGGTGCCCACTATGACGTGTACTGACGTCTATGGTGCCCACTATGACGTGTACTGACGTCTATGGTGCCCACTATGACGTATACTGACGTCTATGGTACCCACTATGACGTGTACTGACGTCTATGGTACCCACTGTGACGTGTACCGACGTCTATGGTACCCACTGTGACGTGTACTGACGTCTATGGGACCCACTGTGACGTGTACTGACGTCTATGGTGCCCACTATGACGTATACTGACGTCTATGGTACCCACTATGACGTGTACTGACGTCTATGGTACCCACTATGACGTATACTGACGTCTATGGTACCCACTATGACGTGTACTGACGTCTATGGTACCCACTATGACGTATACTGACGTCTATGGTACCCACTATGACGTATACTGACGTGTTTGGTACCCACAGATATCGAGGCCGAGTGCCAGGACGACTTCATGAGGATCCACGTTCAGTTCAACGGCTCCTTCAGCGGCCTAGTCTACTCCTTAGGCAAGTATTGCGTCAACTTACCTACTTATACACACTGGCGCCGTGGGTGGGAGGAGCGGGCGTGTATAGAACGAGAGGGAGCGACACCACAACACAGAAGAATGAAACATATAGTTACTAGTGACTTCTCTAAGACTGAATATATTTTTAAAGTAGTAGGCTTCCATCAGTCTCAGGAGACTATGGAGTTGCGCTCTGGTTGTCGGTCTGGAGTGGCCTCTCCAGGGGTGCAAAGCCAGGGTAGGCTGATACGGAGGGAGAAGCTGTAACTCGTTTATATTACGAATTTATATAAACAAAAAACTCGTCAAAAATCACAGCCTACGTTCATTTATTTCCTTGACAACAATATTTACGAAGGTGAAGGGAAGCCCCGATATAGGTGTAGGTGTATTACATTTTTTTTGCAGGAAGTTACGTACTTCCTTTCTCGAGATGCTGTATACAATGTATGAGAGCATTGCATACAGTAGCTTGAGGAAGCGTGTAGGATTGCATACAGTAGCTTGAGGAAGCGTGTAGGATTGCATACAGTACCTTGAAAAAGGATGTAGGTTACATCCGAAAAATTGATTTTTAATACACCATCAAATGAACAAATCCACAAGGGCCGTGACGAGGGTTCGAACCTGCGTCCGAGAGGATCCCAGACGCTGCCTTAATAACAACATTGCTCTACTCTAGCGCACTCTTCAACAACGATGCCCAACTACGACAAAGTCACTGAGGCATTAGAAGAGAAACAGAATGCTGATGTGATATACACGGACTTCGCAAAGGCCTTCGATAAATGTGACCATGGCGTGATAGCACACAAAATGAAGTCAATGGGAATAACCGGTAAAGTAGGACGCTGGATACTCAGTTTTCTGTCAAACAGGACTCAGCGAGTAACTGTCAACCATATAAAATCTAGTCCAAGTGCAGTGAAAAGCTCTGTACCTCAGGGTACAGTCCTTGCACCACTGCTTTTCCTTATTCTCATATCAGATATAGACAAAATACAAGTCACAGCTTCGTATCATCCTTTGCAGATGACACAAAAATCAGTATGAAAATTACCTCGGCTGAGGACATTGAAAAACTTCAAGCTGATATTAATAAAGTTTTCGACTGGGCATCAGAAAATAACATGATGTTTAACAGTGATAAATTCCAGGTACTCAGGTACGGTAAAAATGAGGACCTTAAACATAATACAGAGTACAAAACACAATCAAATGTACCCATAGTAGGAAAACAGCATGTAAAGGATTTGGGAATAATAATGTCGGACGACCTAACGTTTAAGGAGCATAACCAAGCAAATATTGCGACAGCCAGAAAAATGATAGGATGGATTACGAGAACTTTCAAATCCAGGGATCCCATCACAATGGTTGTACTCTTCAAGGCACTTGTGTTGTCCCGTCTTGAGTACTGCTCAGTACTCACTTCCCCCTTCAAAGCAGGAGAGATTGCTGAAATAGAGGGAATACAGAGAACATATACGGCACGCATAGACGCAATAAAGCACCTAAATTATTGGGATCGTCTCAAAGCCCTCCAAATGTACTCACTAGAAAGAAGACGAGAGAGATATCAAATAATATACACCTGGAAGATACTGGAGGGCCAAGTACCAAATCTACACAGTAAAATAACAACGTACTGGAGTGAACGACATGGAAGAAAATGTAGAATAGAACCAATGAAGAGCAGAGGTGCCATAGGCACAATCAGAGAACACTGTATAAACATCAGAGGTCCGCGGTTGTTCAACGTCCTCCCAGCAAGCATAAGAAATATTGCCGGAACAACCGTGGACATTTTCAAGAGGAAACTAGATTTATTCCTCCAAGGAGTGCCGGACCAACCGGGCTGTGGTGGGTATGTGGGCCTGCGGGCCGCTCCAAGCAACAGCCTGGTGGACCAAACTCTCACAAGTCGAGCCTGGCCTCGGGCCGGGCTTGGGGAGTAGAAGAACTCCCAGAACCCCATCAACCAGGTAACCAGGTAACTACTTGGGGTGGCAGGTAGAGCGACGGTCTCGCTTCATGCATGTTGGCGTTCAATCCCCGACTGTCCAAGTGGTTGGGCACCATTCCTTCCCCCCGTCATATCCCAAATCCTTATCCTGAGCCCATCCAAGTGTTATTAGTCATAATGACTTGGCGCTTTACCCCTAATAGTTCCCTTCTTCAACAACCACTTGGTGGAAGAGTCGTTACAGCTTACATGTACACGGGAGAAAATGTTATATAAATATTGTTGTAAACTTACAACAATGCCGTAGTGCTGGAATGAAGGTGAAGGGACGACCCATATCAACCCGTCCTCTTACAAACTACGTCGCTCTTCGCTCGTATGCGCACTCAGGCTAAAAATCGACGTAATTAGAAATGAAATCGCCTCACGAAAGTGACGTAATGTCCCGTTTTCTGTTTTGGGTCCTCTGGCTTAGTCTGTTAAGTTAGGAGATGAAACTTTAAATTAACGATTTTCATGACGTTTTGAAACCTTGGAGAACTTCCTGCCCTCCTAACCTACCGGAGGACCATTAACTTACTGTTTGGGAAAACAAAACTAAAAAATTTAATTGGAAAATAAATTTCCATTTTGAATTACGTCGATATTTGGCAGTAGCGCATAGGAGCGATTGAATAGAGCAATGTTGCTATTGTTTACCATGCAGCCTTTAGTCTCATCCCCCCCCCTCCCCTCCCCTCTTCCCAACAGGCTACGCGTACGACGGCGACTGTATCTACGTGAATGGCTCCGGCCGCCACGCCTACGACTTCTTCATCCAGCTCAACCGCTGCGGCACCCTCAGTGGCAACGAGAAGGGCAGAGAGGACATCAGAGGACGCACTCCTTCGGTGCGTGCTGAGCTCTAGCAGGGATATACTCTTGTGTGGGGCCTTGTGTTTATGGCTGGCTCCTCTCTGCTCTGTGCATCTCATGGGAGAGTCTGATCTATGTTTTAATTTCTGAATTGTATTAGATGTTCGTGACAAGACTTTCTCCACAGTGCTGACATTAGCTTTGCTCGTCTTCTGAAACAGACATACACCTCTGAACACACCCCTGAACACCCCAGACATGCCAAAGAAACCTCTGAATACACCACAGACACACACACCCTAGACAAAATTCTGAACGCAACCCCCAGACACACCCTTGCACACACCCCTGAATACACCCTAGACACACCTCAACACACCCCAGACACACACCCTGAACACACCTCAGAGACACTCACAATAAAAATACATAAAACTGATGGCATGTATATTACAGGTTTAAACTGTATTACAGAGAGTGTAATGAATGCCAAGCTGTAATGCGTGAGCATTTTGCGCACTGATTAGAATCATACACGTGCCAAGTAATGTTTCTCTCTCTTACCAAGTTTTGAATCATGACACGTAGGAGTTATAAAGGTTAAAAACAGTATAGCAGATGGTATACGTTGAGGCTATAATGAAGGCAAGATTTGGTTATATTTCTCACTTCTTGAGATATATTCACGAAAATATTAGGCTATTCTTGGTTTATTAAGCTATTCTTGAGATATATTTCAGACATTATTAGGCTATTCTTGAGATATATTTCAGACAGTATTAGGCTATTCTTGAGATATATTTCAGATAGTATTAGGCTATTCTTGAGATATATTTCAGATAGTATTAGGCTATTCTTGAGATATATTTCAGACAGTATTAGGCTATTCTAGAGATATATTTCAGACAGTATTAGGCTATTCTTGAGATATATTTTAGATAGTATTAGCCTATTCTTGAGATATATTTCAGATAGTATTAGGCTATTCTTGAGATATATTTCAGATATATTTCAGATAGTATTAGGGTTATTCTTGATATATATTTCTTATATTATATAATAAAAAACATCTGGTGCTTTGTGGACCTTCAGTTTTAGCTGTATCTATAACACATAATCCGGCAATAGAGGTCTGCTGTAATAAGAAATGTCTGCTTCTGAAGAATGCCTACTGTAATAGGGAATGTCTGCTTCTGAAGAATGCCTTCTGTAATAGGGAATGTCTGCTTCTGAAGAATGCCTACTGTAATAGGGAATGTCTGCTGTAGTAGGGAATGTCTGCTGCCTCCAAGGAATGTCTGCTGCCTCCAAGGAATGCCTGTTGTAGTAGGGAATGTCTGCTGCCTCCAAGGAATGCCTGTTGTAGTAGGGAATGTCTGCTGCCTCCAAGGAATGTCTACTATAGTAGGGAATGTCTGCTGCCTCCAAGGAATGCCTGTTGTAGTAGGGAATGTCTGCTGCCTCCAAGGAATGTCTACTATAGTAGGGAATGTCTGCTGCCTCCAAGGAATGTCTACTATAGTAGGGAATGTCTGCTGCCTCCAAGGAATGCCTGTTGTAGTAGGGAATGTCTGCTGCCTCCAAGGAATGTCTACTATAGTAGGGAATGTCTGCTGCCTCCAAGGAATGTCTACTATAGTAGGGAATGTCTGCTGCCTCCAAGGAATGTCTACTATAGTAGGGAATGTCTGCTGCCTCCAAGGAATGTCTACTATAGTAGGGAATGTCTGCTGCCTCCAAGGAATGTCTACTATAGTAGGGAATGTCTGCTGCCTCCAAGGAATGTCTACTATAGTAGGGAATGTCTGCTGCCTCCAAGGAATGTCTACTATAGTAGGGAATGTCTGCTGCCTCCAAGGAATGTCTACTATAGTAGGGAATGTCTGCTGCCTCCAAGGAATGTCTACTATAGTAGGGAATGTCTGCTTTAGTCTGACGTAACTGCACATATTCGTTGGCGTAGTGTAGCAGAGACTCAATCACACCACAAGGAGAATATCTGCTTGCTAAACAACAACAATGGATGAATTTAAAACAAAATGAAGGAGGAAAAGCTTTCGAAACATTATATGACAGTTCATTATCATAGTGAACAGTTCATTATCATAGTGAACAGTTCACACACTTATGATAATACTTTGTCTCGTTTACTTATGCTAAGACATCAAAATTATAGTACTTATAACAGCTATTTGGCCGAACGTACAAAAATGGACTGTTCCAACCAACATTGTTTACATTTTGTACTATTAAGTCTGTATCTTCTTTTTGAGATGATTTCGGGGCTTAGCGTCCCCGCGGCCCGGTCCTCGATCAGGCCTCCTTTTTGTTACACATACCCAGGGAGCAGGTCATAGCAGCTGTCTAAGTCCCGGGTATCTATTTACTGATAGGTGAAGAGGAGCATCAGGGTGAAATAAACTCTGTCTATTTGTTTCCGTCTCCGCCGGGGATCGAACCCAGAACCTTAGGACTATGAATCCCGAGCGCTGTGCACTCAGCCGTCAGGCCCGTCAGGTCAGGTCATGTATGTGTAGCACATACATATACCACATTAGGCTTAAAGCAGCGTTTATTAAGCCTAGGATTGCTTGGACAGATTAGATTAGGTTCTTCGGTTACAGTTAAACAATTTTAGTATGGCATTTGCACTAATTCAAGAATACAAACCATTACTTTTGCGGGTCTAACTGCCCATTTTCGTATGTTTGGTCAAATAGTTGCCATACGCATTATCATTTTAAAAGGATGGGCTGTAAGACACACACACACGTATGCAAACAGAGTGGTAGACAGTTGGAGCAAGCTAACTGAGAAGGTGGAGGAGGCCAAAACCGTCAGTAGTTTCAAAGGGTTATACGACAAAGAGTACTGGGAAGATGGGACACCACGAGCGTAGCTCTCATCCTGTAACTACACTTGAGACTACACTACTATGTGTGAGAACTAACAGGTTAAGGTATATACTCCTGCAGAAGAACATGATGTGGAACACCCTGACGGTGCAGTACAACCCGCTCATCGAGGAGGTCTGGGACGAGCACTTCAAGGTCACATGCGAGTATGGCTACGACTTCTGGAAGACTGTCACCTTCCCCTTCCTCGACGTCGAGTAAGTGCTCTTGGACTCGTTCACCAGTAAGTGTTGCTGGGCTTAAGGTACCAGTAAGTGTTGCTGAGCTTAAGTTACCAGTAAGTGTTGCTGGGCTTAAGTGACCAGTAAGTGTTGCTGGGCTTAAGTGACCAGTAAGTGTTGCTGGGCTTAACTGACCAGTAAGTGTTGCTGGGCTTAAGTGACCAGTAAGTGTTGCTGGGCTTAAGTGACCAGTAAGTGTTGCTGGGCTTAAGTGACCAGTAAGTGTTGCTGGGCTTAAGTGACCAGTAAGTGTTGCTGGGCTTAAGTGACCAGTAAGTGTTGCTGGGCTTAAGTGACCAGTAAGTGTTGCTGGGCTTAAGTGACCAGTAAGTGTTGCTGAGCTTAAGTGACCAGTAAGTGTTGCTGGGCTTAAGTGACCAGTAAGTGTTGCTGGGCTTAAGTGACCAGTAAGTGTTCCTGGCCTTGGTGACTTTGACAACTTATGTCGTGTTGTGAAGATCTTCTAAGCAAATTTAGGGTTTAAATTTAAAATGATGTAAGGGAAGCACATCAGTGTCTGTGTAAGTGTCAGCGGAGGCGCCTGGGCCTTCATTGCTACCTAATGATCCTCCTCACAGGAAATACTTAACTAGTCACAGATAATTAATGCAGTTTACCACCGTAAGCTCATGATTGATATATAATAACAGCTTCCAATAATCATGTTAATCGCCTGGCGGTGCACCGAGTGTTGCCTGGCGGTGCACTGAGTGTTGCCTGGCGGTGCACTGAGTGTTGCCTGGCGGTGCACTGAGTGTTGCCTGGCGGTGCACTGAGTGTTGCCTGGCGGTGCACCGAGTGTTGCCTGGCGGTGCACTGAGTGTTGCCTGGCGGTGCACCGAGTGTTGCCTGGCGGTGCACTGAGTGTTGCCTGGCGGTGCACCGAGTGTTGCCTGGCGGTGCACTGAGTGTTGCCTGGCGGTGCACTGAGTGTTGCCTGGCGGTGCACTGAGTGTTGCCTGGCGGTGCACTGAGTGTTGCCTGGCGGTGCACTGAGTGTTGCCTGGCGGTGCACTGAGTGTTGCCTGGCGGTGCACTGAGTGTTGCCTGGCGGTGCACTGAGTGTTGCCTGGCGGTGCACTGAGTGTTGCCTGGCGGTGCACTGAGTGTTGCCTGGTGGTGCACTGAGTGTTGCCTGGTGGTGCACTGAGTGTTGCCTGGCGGTGCACTGAGTGTTGCCTGGCGGTGCACTGAGTGTTGCCTGGCGGTGCACTGAGTGTTGCCTGGCGGTGCACTGAGTGTTGCCTGGTGGTGCACTGAGTGTTGCCTGGCGGTGCACTGAGTGTTGCCTGGCGGTGCACCGAGTGTTGCCTGGCGGTGCACCGAGTGTTGCCTGGCGGTGCACTGAGTGTTGCCTGGCGGTGCACTGAGTGTTGCCTGGTGGTGCACTGAGTGTTGCCTGGCGGTGCACTGAGTGTTGCCTGGCGGTGCACTGAGTGTTGCCTGGCGGTGCACTGAGTGTTGCCTGGCGGTGCACTGAGTGTTGCCTGGCGGTGCACTGAGTGTTGCCTGGCGGTGCACCGAGTGTTGCCTGGCGGTGCACCGAGTGTTGCCTGGCGGTGCACTGAGTGTTGCCTGGCGGTGCACCGAGTGTTGCCTGGCGGTGCACTGAGTGTTGCCTGGCGGTGCACTGAGTGTTGCCTGGCGGTGCACTGAGTGTTGCCTGGTGGTGCACTGAGTGTTGCCTGGCGGTGCACTGAGTGTTGCCTGGCGGTGCACCGAGTGTTGCCTGGCGGTGCACTGAGTGTTGCCTGGCGGTGCACTGAGTGTTGCCTGGCGGTGCACTGAGTGTTGCCTGGTGGTGCACTGAGTGTTGCCTGGCGGTGCACTGAGTGTTGCCTGGCGGTGCACTGAGTGTTGCCTGGCGGTGCACTGAGTGTTGCCTGGCGGTGCACTGAGTGTTGCCTGGTGGTGCACCGAGTGTTGCCTGGCGGTGCACCGAGTGTTGCCTGGCGGTGCACTGAGTGTTGCCTGGCGGTGCACCGAGTGTTGCCTGGCGGTGCACTGAGTGTTGCCTGGTGGTGCACTGAGTGTTGCCTGGCGGTGCACTGAGTGTTGCCTGGCGGTGCACCGAGTGTTGCCTGGCGGTGCACTGAGTGTTGCCTGGCGGTGCACTGAGTGTTGCCTGGCGGTGCACCGAGTGTTGCCTGGCGGTGCACCGAGTGTTGCCTGGCGGTGCACTGAGTGTTGCCTGGCGGTGCACCGAGTGTTGCCTGGCGGTGCACTGAGTGTTGCCTGGCGGTGCACTGAGTGTTGCCTGGCGGTGGGGAACAGGGAGTGAGTGACTTACGGGGTTCTACTTGCAGGGTTCAGACAGGGAACCCGGTGGTGTTCACACTCACGCCGCCAGAGTGCCACATGGAGATCCGCTACGGGATCGGCACCACCGGGAACCGGGTGACGGGTCCGGTGCGGGTCGGGGATCCCTTGACCCTCGTCATCTACATGCGCTCAGAATTCGGTAAGAGTCCGAGTCTGTTTTGGTCTGCTCGGCGGCCATTTTTGTTCGGCAGCGCCGCAGTAGATCACTTACAATTCAATTCAAATGTACTGAAGATGTTTGATCAATTGAATTATTATTTTTCTAATTTGTATTCTTGTATTTATATATATGTATAGTCTGTTAATTGTGTGTGAAAGATGAAAGTAGTCAAAACACTTCACCCTTCATGTGACCACCACACACTAGACATGAGCCTCAGTTACCTCTCATACTCAGCTGTTGAGCTCTGAGGGCCTTACCTGAGTGCCTCACTACTCCTTCTTTATCATGACATCCTGCAGTCGTCTGTGTCTCTCCTCCGTCATAGCATGTCTCTCTATCTCGTGGCCATTGTCACCCGTGAGGGGTAGAAATAGCCTAAGCTACTCTATCCCTTTGAGATGTATTTATTCCTTATCTCAATAAACATACTTGAATTGTCAGCCGTGTCTTCGTGTTCCATGACCGTGTACCTGTCTCTCGCCAGAGGGGTTCGACATCGTGGTGAGCGACTGCTACGCCCACAACGGAGGTAACAAGCGGATTGCCCTCATCGACCATTACGGGTAAGGGGCCTCTTACCAACCCGTTATTCCCAGTTATAACAATAACCAACTCGTAACTTTCTTTAGAAGTAAAAGTAGGAATTAAGAGAATAACACACTACACTACACTACACACAGAAATCACAATTGCGTGATGCATCAAATGAACAAATCCACAAGGGCCGTGACGAGGATTCGAACCTGCGTCCGAGAGCATGCCAGACGCTGCCTTAATCGACTAAGCTACATGGTAAAAGGAGTTGAAACCGAAGTTCTACTGAACTTACTGGATCCTGCAGCCTCTCCGAGGCACAAACCAGGGTTTTACACAACTCCCCCCATGCACTCGAGCTATGTCAATAAGCCGTTCTCCCTCTTTGCCCTTACTTCACTACATATATTGCGTGATGCATGTTCATTTGAAGCATCACACAATTGTGATTTCTGTGTTCCCTTCCTTCTCTATAACTGTCGTGTCTCCGTGGGCGGGCGTGCAGGTGCCCGCTGGACGAGTCGCTCATCAGCCACTTCGAGGGCACGAGGACCAGCGAGGGCATGTTCGAGACGCAGGTGTACGCCTTCATGAAGACCTTCCGCTTCACCGGCTCCCCTGCCCTCTACATCGAGTGTGACGTCAGGATGTGTCACGGCGACTGTCCGGTATGTGTCCTCCTCCACGGTGGGGGGGAGGGGGGACACCGTGACGGGAGGGGAGGTGGGGTGTGAGGTGAAGGGTGAGGTTCAGAGTAAGGGGAAGGTTTAGGGGAAGGTTTAGGGGAAGGTTTAGGAGTGAGGTGCTTAGTGAGGAATGTGGAGAGACAGGGAGGGAGAGGGCGTGTGGGGTAAGGGTAGATGAGGAGAGAGGGGGAGAGAGAGAGAGAGAGAGAGAGAGAGAGAGAGAGAGAGAGAGAGAGAGAGAGAGAGAGAGAGAGAGAGAGAGAGAGAGAGAGAGAGAGAGAGAGAGAGAGAGAGAGAGAGAGAGAGAGAGAGAGAGAGAGAGAGAGAGAGAGAGAGAGAGAGAGAGAGAGAGAGAGAGAGAGAGAGAGAGAGAGAGAGAGAGAGAGAGAGAGAGAGAGAGAGAGAGAGAGAGAGAGAGAGAGAGAGAGAGAGAGAGAGAGAGAGAGAGAGAGAGAGACAGACAGACAGAGAGAGACAGACAGAGAGAGACAGACAGAGAGAGAGAGAGCGTGTGAGGGTAGATGCCTCACCACACCCACACACCACCACATTGTGCTAATGTACACCTTCTCCCCCCCCCCCCCCGTGTAGACTCAACCCTGCCACTGGCGGAGTCCCAAGAAGCAGAAAAGGTCCCTGCTGGAGGAGCAGAGGGAGTCGAACCCGGCCAACATCTCGGAGTCCCTCAGTCTCTTCCAGTCCATCCAGGTGGTGCGCGATGACCAGCTCCTCCGCCCAGCCCTCAGTAAGTTGTTCCTCTGTTGTGGTGGTTAGCTGTTCCTGTTGTGGTGGTTAGTTGTTCCTGTTGTGGTGGTTAGTTGTTCCTGTTGTGGTGGTTAGCTGTTCCTGTTGTGGTGGTTAGTTGTTCCTGTTGTGGTGGTTAGTTGTTCCTGTTGTGGTGGTTAGTTGTTCCTCTGTTGTGGTGTTAGCTGTTCCTGTTGTGGTGGTTAGTTGTTCCTGTTGTGGTGGTTAGTTGTTCCTGTTGTGGTGGTTAGTTGTTCCTCTGTTGTGGTGGTTAGTTGTTCCTCTGTTGTGGTGGTTAGTTGTTCCTGTTGTGGTGGTTAGCTGTTCCTGTTGTGGTGGTTAGTTGTTCCTGTTGTGGTGGTTAGTTGTTCCTGTTGTGGTGGTTAGCTGTTCCTGTTGTGGTGGTTAGTTGTTCCTCTGTTGTGGTGGTTAGCTGTTCCTGTTGTTGTGGTTAGTTGTTCCTCTGTTGTGGTGGTTAGTTGTTCCTCTGTTGTGGTGGTTAGCTGTTCCTGTTGTGGTGGTTAGTTGTTCCTGTTGTGGTGGTTAGCTGTTCCTGTTGTGGTGGTTAGTTGTTCCTGTTGTGGTGGTTAGTTGTTCCTGTTGTGGTGGTTAGTTGTTCCTGTTGTGGTGGTTAGTTGTTCCTGTTGTGGTGGTTAGTTGTTCCTGTTGTGGTGGTTAGTTGTTCCTCTGTTGTGGTGGTTAGTTGTTCCTGTTGTGGTGGTTAGTTCCTGTTGTTCCTGTTGTGGTGGTTAGTTGTTCCTGTTGTGGTGGTTAGCTGTTCCTGTTGTGGTGGTTAGTTGTTCCTCTGTTGTGGTGGTTAGCTGTTCCTGTTGTGGTGGTTAGTTGTTCCTCTGTTGTGGTGGTTAGTTGTTCCTCTGTTGTGGTGGTTAGCTGTTCCTGTTGTGGTGGTTAGTTGTTCCTGTTGTGGTGGTTAGTTGTTCCCTGTTGTGGTGGTTAGTTGTTCCTGTTGTGGTGGTTAGTTGTTCCTGTTGTGGTGGTTAGTTGTTCCTGTTGTGGTGGTTAGTTGTTCCTGTTGTGGTGGTTAGTTGTTCCTGTTGTGGTGGTTAGTTGTTCCTCTGTTGTGGTGATTAGTTGTTCCTGTTGTGGTGGTTAGTTGTTCCTGTTGTGGTGGTTAGTTGTTCCTGTTGTGGTGGTTAGCTGTTCCTGTTGTGGTGGTTAGTTGTTCCTCTGTTGTGGTGGTTAGTTGTTCCTGTTGTGGTGGTTAGTTGTTCCTCTGTTGTGGTGGTTAGTTGTTCCTCTGTTGTGGTGGTTAGTTGTTCTCTGTTGTGGTGGTTAGTTGCTGTTGTGGTGGTTAGTTGTTCCTGTTGTGGTGGTTAGTTGTTTCTCTGTTGTGGTGGTTAGTTGTTCCTGTTGTGGTGGTTAGTTGTTCCTGTTGTGGTGGTTAGTTGTTCCTGTTGTGGTGGTTAGTTGTTCCTGTTGTGGTGGTTAGTTGTTCCTCTGTTGTGGTGGTTAGTTGTTCTGTTGTGGTGGTTAGTTGTTCCTGTTGTGGTGGTTAGTTGTTCCTGTTGTGGTGGTTAGTTGTTCCTGTTGTGGTGGTTAGTTGTTCCTCTGTTGTGGTGGTCAGTTGTTCCTCTGTTGTGGTGGTTAGTTGTTCCTGTTGTGGTGGTTAGTTGTTCCTCTGTTGTGGTGGTTAGTTGTTCCTGTTGTGGTGGTTAGTTGTTCCTGTTGTGGTGGTTAGTTGTTCCTCTGTTGTGGTGGTTAGTTGTTCCTCTGTTGTGGTGGTTAGTTGTTCCTCTGTTGTGGTGGTTAGTTGTTCCTCTGTTGTGGTGGTTAGTTGTTCCTCTGTTGTGGTGGTTAGTTGTTCCTCTGTTGTGGTGGTTAGTTGTTCCTCTGTTGTGGTGGTTAGTTGTTCCTCTGTTGTGGTGGTTAGTTGTTCCTGTTGTGGTGGTTAGTTGTTCCTGTTGTGGTGGTTAGTTGTTCCTCTGTTGTGGTGGTTAGTTGTTCCTCTGTTGTGGTGGTTAGTTGTTCCTCTGTTGTGGTGGTTAGTTGTTCCTCTGTTGTGGTGGTTAGTTGTTCCTGTTGTGGTGGTTAGTTGTTCCTCTGTTGTGGTGGTTAGTTGTTCCTCTGTTGTGGTGGTTAGTTGTTCCTCTGTTGTGGTGGTTAGTTGTTCCTCTGTTGTGGTGGTTAGTTGTTCCTCTGTTGTGGTGGTTAGTTGTTCCTCTGTTGTGGTGGTTAGTTGTTCCTCTGTTGTGGTGGTCAGTTGCTCCTCTGTTGTGGTGGTTAGTTGTTCCTCTGTTGTGGAGGTTAGTTGTTCTGTTGTGGTGGTTAGTTGTTCCTGTTGTGGTGGTTAGTTGTTCCTGTTGTGGTGGTTAGTTGCTCCTCTGTTGTGGTGGTCAGTTGTTCCTCTGTTGTGGAGGTTAGTTGTTCCTGTTGTGGTGGTTAGTTGTTCTGTTGTGGTGGTTAGTTGTTCCTCTGTTGTGGTGGTCAGTTGTTCCTCTGTTGTGGTGGTTAGTTGTTCCTCTGTTGTGGTGGTTAGTTGTTCCTCTGTTGTGGTGGTCAGTTGTTCCTCTGTTGTGGTGGTTAGTTGTTCCTCTGTTGTGGTGGTTAGTTGTTCCTCTGTTGTGGTGGTTAGTTGTTCCTCTGTTGTGGTGGTTAGTTGTTCCTCTGTTGTGGTGGTTAGTTGTTCCTGTTGTGGTGGTTAGTTGTTCCTCTGTTGTGGTGGTTAGTTGTTCCTGTTGTGGTGGTTAGTTGTTCCTCTGTTGTGGTGGTTAGTTGTTCCTCTGTTGTGGTGGTTAGTTGTTCCTCTGTTGTGGTGGTTAGTTGTTCCTCTGTTGTGGTGGTTAGTTGTTCCTGTTGTGGTGGTTAGTTGTTCCTGTTGTGGTGGTTAGTTGTTCCTCTGTTGTGGTGGTTAGTTGTTCCTCTGTTGTGGTGGTTAGTTGTTCCTCTGTTGTGGTGGTTAGTTGTTCTGTTGTGGTGGTTAGTTGTTCTTGTTGTGGTGGTTAGTTGTTCTGTTGTGGTGGTTAGTTGTTCTGTTGTGGTGGTTAGTTGTTCCTGTTGTGGTGGTTAGTTGTTCCTCTGTTGTGGTGGTTAGTTGTTCCTCTGTTGTGGTGGTTAGTTGTTCTGTTGTGGTGGTTAGTTGTTCCTCTGTTGTGGTGGTTAGTTGTTCCTCTGTTGTGGTGGTTAGTTGTTCCTCTGTTGTGGTGGTTAGTTGTTCTGTTGTGGTGGTTAGTTGTTCCTGTTGTGGTGGTTAGTTGTTCCTGTTGTGGTGGTTAGTTGTTCCTCTGTTGTGGTGGTTAGCTGTTCCTGTTGTGGTGGTCAGTTGTTCCTCTGTTGTGGTGGTTAGTTGTTCCTCTGTTGTGGTGGTTAGTTGTTCCTGTTGTGGAGGTCAGTTGTTCCTCTGTTGTGGTGGTTAGTTGTTCCTGTTGTGGTGGTTAGTTGTTCCTCTGTTGTGGTGGTTAGTTGTTCCTCTGTTGTGGTGGTTAGTTGTTCCTCTGTTGTGGTGGTTAGTTGTTCCTCTGTTGTGGTGGTTAGTTGTTCCTCTGTTGTGGTGGTTAGTTGTTCCTCTGTTGTGGTGGTTAGTTGTTCCTCTGTTGTGGTGGTTAGTTGTTCCTCTGTTGTGGTGGTTAGTTGTTCCTCTGTTGTGGTGGTTAGTTGTTCCTCTGTTGTGGTGGTTAGTTGTTCCTCTGTTGTGGTGGTTAGTTGTTCCTCTGTTGTGGTGGTTAGTTGTTCCTCTGTTGTGGTGGTTAGTTGTTCCTCTGTTGTGGTGGTTAGTTGTTCCTCTGTTGTGGTGGTTAGTTGTTCCTCTGTTGTGGTGGTTAGTTGTTCCTCTGTTGTGGTGGTTAGTTGTTCCTCTGTTGTGGTGGTTAGTTGTCCTCCTCTGTTGTGGTGGTTAGTTGTTCCTCTGTTGTGGTGGTTAGTTGTTCCTCTGTTGTGGTGGTTAGTTGTTCTGTTGTGGTGGTTAGTTGTTCCTCTGTTGTGGTGGTTAGTTGTTCCTCTGTTGTGGTGGTTAGTTGTTCCTCTGTTGTGGTGGTTAGTTGTTCTGTTGTGGTGGTTAGTTGTTCCTCTGTTGTGGTGGTTAGTTGTTCCTCTGTTGTGGTGGTTAGTTGTTCTCTGTTGTGGTGGTTAGTTGTTCCTCTGTTGTGGTGGTTAGTTGTTCCTCTGTTGTGGTGGTTAGTTGTTCCTGTTGTGGTGGTTAGTTGTTCCTGTTGTGGTGGTTAGTTGTTCTGTTGTTGTGGTGGTTAGTTGTTCCTCTGTTGTGGTGGTTAGTTGTTGTTCCTCTGTTGTGGTGGTTAGTTGTTCCTGTTGTGGTGGTTAGTTGTTCCTGTTGTGGTGGTTAGTTGTTCCTGTTGTGGTGGTTAGTTGCTCCTCTGTTGTGGTGGTTAGTTGTTCCTCTAGTTGTTGTGTGGTGGTTAGTTGTTCCTCTGTTGTGGTGGTTAGTTGTTCCTGTTGTGGTGGTTAGTTGTTCCTCTGTTGTGGTGGTTAGTTGTTCCTCTGTTGTGGTGGTTAGTTGTTCCTCTGTTGTGGTGGTTAGTTGTTCCTCTGTTGTGGTGGTTAGTTGTTCCTCTGTTGTGGTGGTTAGTTGTTCCTCTGTTGTGGTGGTTAGTTGTTCCTCTGTTGTGGTGGTTAGTTGTTCCTCTGTTGTGGTGGTTAGTTGTTCCTCTGTTGTGGTGGTTAGTTGTTCCTCTGTTGTGGTGGTTAGTTGTTCCTCTGTTGTGGTGGTTAGTTGTTCCTCTGTTGTGGTGGTTAGTTGTTTAGTTGTTCCTGTTGTGGTGGTTAGTTGTTCCTGTTGTGGTGGTTAGTTGTTCCTGTTGTGGTGGTTCTGTTGTGGTGGTTAGTTGTTCCTCTGTTGTGGTGGTTAGTTGTTCCTCTGTTGTGGTCTCTGTTGTGGTGGTTAGTTGTTCCTGTTGTGGTGGTTAGTTGTTCCTGTTGTGGTGGTTAGTTGTTCCTCTGTTGTGGTGGTTAGTTGTTCCCTGTTGTGGTGGTTAGTTGTTCCTCTGTTGTGGTGGTTAGTTGTTCCTCTGTTGTGGTGGTTAGTTGTTCCTGTTGTGGTGGTTAGTTGTTCTGTTGTGGTGGTTAGTTGTTCTCTGTTGTGGTGGTTAGTTGTTCCTGTTGTGGTGGTTAGTTGTTCCTGTTGTGGTGGTTAGTTGTTCCTGTTGTGGTGGTTAGTTGTTCCTGTGGTGGTTAGTTGTTGTTCTGTTGTGGTGGTTAGTTGTTCCTGTTGTGGTGGTTAGTTGTTCCTCTGTTGTGGTGGTTAGTTGTTCTGTTGTGGTGGTTAGTTGTTCCTGTTGGTGGTTAGTTGTTCCTCTGTTGTGGTGGTTAGTTGTTCCTCTGTTGTGGTGGTTAGTTGTTCCTCTGTTGTGGTGGTTAGTTGTTCCTCTGTTGTGGTGGTTAGTTGTTCCTCTGTTGTGGTGGTTAGTTGTTCCTCTGTTGTGGTGGTTAGTTGTTCCTCTGTTGTGGTGGTTAGTTGTTCCTGTTGTGGTGGTTAGTTGTTCTGTTGTGGTGGTTAGTTGTTCCTGTTGTGGTGGTTAGTTGTTCCTCTGTTGTGGTGGTTAGTTGTTCTGTTGTGGTGGTTAGTTGTTCCTCTGTTGTGGTGGTTAGTTGTTCCTCTGTTGTGGTGGTTAGTTGTTCTGTTGTGGTGGTTAGTTGTTCCTCTGTTGTGGTGGTTAGTTGTTCCTGTTGTGGTGGTTAGTTGTTCCTCTGTTGTGGTGGGTTAGTTGTTTCTCTGTTGTGGTGGTTAGTTGTTCCTCTGTTGTGGTGGTTAGTTGTTCCTCTGTTGTGGTGGTTAGTTGTTCCTCTGTTGTGGTGGTTAGTTGTTCCTCTGTTGTGGTGGTTAGTTGTTCCTCTGTTGTGGTGGTTAGTTGTTCCTGTTGTGGTGGTTAGTTGTTCCTCTGTTGTGGTGGTTAGTTGTTCCTCTGTTGTGGTGGTTAGTTGTTCCTGTTGTGGTGGTTAGTTGTTCCTGTTGTGGTGGTCAGTTGTTCTTGTTGTGGTGGATAGTTGTTCTGTTGTGGTGGTTAGTTGTTCTGTTGTGGTGGTTAGTTGTTCTTGTTGTGGTGGTTAGTTGTTCTTGTTGTGGTGGATAGTTGTTCTGTTGTGGTGGTTAGTTGTTCTTGTTGTGGTGGTTAGTTGTTCTTGTTGTGGTGGATAGTTGTTCTGTTGTGGTGGTTAGTTGTTCTTGTTGTGGTGGTTAGTTGTTCCTGTTGTGGTGGTTAGTTGTTCTTGTTGTGGTGGATAGTTGTTCCTGTTGTGGTGGTTAGTTGTTCTTGTTGTGGTGGTTAGTTGTTCCTGTTGTGGTGGTTAGTTGTTCTTGTTGTGGTGGTTAGTTGTTCTTGTTGTGGTGGTTAGTTGTTCTGTTGTGGTGGTTAGTTGTTCTTGTTGTGGTGGTTAGTTGTTCTTGTTGTGGTGGATAGTTGTTCTGTTGTGGTGGTTAGTTGTTCTTGTTGTGGTGGTTAGTTGTTCCTGTTGTGGTGGTTAGTTGTTCTTGTTGTGGTGGATAGTTGTTCTGTTGTGGTGGTTAGTTGTTCTTGTTGTGGTGGTTAGTTGTTCCTCTGTTGTGGTGGTTAGTTGTTCCTGTTGTGGTGGTTAGTTGTTCCTCTGTTGTGGTGGTTAGTTGTTCCTGTTGTGGTGGTTAGTTGTTCCTGTTGTGGTGGTTAGTTGTTCCTGTTGTGGTGGTTAGTTGTTCCTCTGTTGTGGTGGTTAGTTGTTCCTGTTGTGGTGGTTAGTTGTTCCTCTGTTGTGGTGGTTAGTTGTTCCTCTGTTGTGGTGGTTAGTTGTTCCTCTGTTGTGGTGGTTAGTTGTTCCTCTGTTGTGGTGGTTAGTTGTTCCTGTTGTGGTGGTTAGTTGTTCCTCTGTTGTGGTGGTCAGTTGTTCCTCTGTTGTGGAGGTTAGTTGTTCTTGTTGTGGTGGTTAGTTGTTCCTCTGTTGTGGTGGTTAGTTGTTCCTCTGTTGTGGTGGTTAGTTGTTCTGTTGTGGTGGTTAGTTGTTCCTGTTGTGGTGGTTAGTTGTTCTTGTTGTGGTGGATAGTTGTTCCTCTGTTGTGGTGGTTAGTTGTTCCTCTGTTGTGGTGGTTAGTTGTTCCTCTGTTGTGGTGGATAGTTGTTCCTCTGTTGTGGTGGTTAGTTGTTCCTCTGTTGTGGTGGATAGTTGTTCCTCTGTTGTGGTGGTTAGTTGTTCTTGTTGTGGCGGTTAGTTGTTCCTCTGTTGTGGTGGTTAGTTGTTCCTCTGTTGTGGTGGATAGTTGTTCCTCTGTTGTGGTGGTTAGTTGTTCCTCTGTTGTGGTGGATAGTTGTTCCTCTGTTGTGGTGGTTAGTTGTTCCTCTGTTGTGGTGGATAGTTGTTCCTCTGTTGTGGTGGTTAGTTGTTCCTCTGTTGTGGTGGTTAGTTGTTCCTCTGTTGTGGTGGTTAGTTGTTCCTCTGTTGTGGTGGTTAGTTGTTCCTCTGTTGTGGTGGATAGTTGTTCTTGTTGTGGTGGTTAGTTGTTCTGTTGTGGTGGCTAGTTGTTCTGTTGTGGTGGTTAGTTGTTCCTCTGTTGTGGAGGTTAGTTGTTCTGTTGTGGTGGTTAGTTGTTCTGTTGTGGTGGTTAGTTGTTCTTGTTGTGGTGGTTAGTTGTTCCTCTGTTGTGGAGGTTAGTTGTTCTTGTTGTGGTGGTTAGTTGTTCCTCTGTTGTGGTGGTTAGTTGTTCCTCTGTTGTGGTGGTTAGTTGTTCCTCTGTTGTGGTGGTTAGTTGTTCCTCTGTTGTGGTGGTCAGTTGTTCCTCTGTTGTGGAGGTTAGTTGTTCTGTTGTGGTGGTTAGTTGTTCCTCTGTTGTGGTGGTTAGTTGTTCTGTTGTGGTGGTTAGTTGTTCCTGTTGTGGTGGTTAGTTGTTCCTCTGTTGTGGTGGTTAGTTGTTCTGTTGTGGTGGTTAGTTGTTCTTGTTGTGGTGGTCAGTTGTTCCTGTTGTGGTGGTTAGTTGTTCCTGTTGTGGAGGTCAGTTGTTCCTGTTGTGGTGGTTAGTTGTTCCTGTTGTGGAGGTCAGTTGTTCCTCTGTTGTGGTGGTTAGTTGTTCCTGTTGTGGTGGTTAGTTGTTCCTGTTGTGGAGGTTAGTTGTTCTGTTGTGGAGGTTAGTTGTTCCTGTTGTGGAGGTCAGTTGTTCTTGTTGTGGTGGTCAGTAGTGATCTGATGTACCTCTACCGTAGTAATCTAATGCACCTCTCGTCGAAGTTACAAGTAGATCAAAGTTAGCAGAGCGGTTGGAGTTACTAACGACGAGCGTAATGAGTAACTAGCAGCAATTTACGCTCCGTGTGTAGACTGCTGCGTAGACTGCTGCGTACACTGCTGCGTACACTGCTGCGTAGACTGCTGCGTAGACTGCTGCGTACACTGCCACACTGGAGACAGTCTACGCCAGTAACCACCATCACTACCTCTCTTTTCCCAGGAGACTCCCAGAGCGAGGATGTGTGCTTGAAGAGTGGGACCTTCTCAGCCCTGGCAGGTAAGGTCACTGGTAGATAAGGTAACTGGTAGGTAAGGTCACAGGCAGGTAAGGTCACAAGCAGGTAAGGTCACAAGCAGGTAAGGTCACTGCTAGATAAGGTCACCGGCAGGTAAGGTCACAAGGAGGTAAGGTCACAAACAGGTAAGGTCACAAGCATGTAAGGTCACAGGCAGGTAAGGTCACAAACAGGTAAGGTCACAAGCAGGTAAGGTCACAAGCAGGAAAGGTCACAAACAGGTAAGGTCACAAGCATGTAAGGTCACAGGCAGGTAAGGTCACAAGCAGGTAAGGTCACAAGCAGGAAAGGTCACAAGCAGGTAAGGTCACAAGTAGGTAAGGTCACAAGCAAGTAAGGTCACAGGCAGGTAAGGTCACAAGCAGGAAAGATCACAAGCAGGTAAGGTCACAAGCAGGTAAGGTCACAAGCAGGAAAGGTCACAAGCAGGTAAGGTCACAAGCAGGAAAGATCACAAGCAGGTAAGGTCACAAGCAGGAAAGATCACAAGCAGGAAAGGTCACAAGCAGGTAAGGTCACAAGCAGGAAAGGTCACAAGCAGGTAAGGTCACAAGCAGGTAAGGTCACAGGCAGGTAAGGTCACAAGCAGGAAAGGTCACAAGCAGGTAAGGTCACAAGCAGGTAAGGTCACAAGCAGGAAAGATCACAAGCAGGTAAGGTCACAAGCAGGTAAGGTCACAAGCAGGTAAGGTCACAAGCAGGTAAGGTCACAAGCAGGTAAGGTCACAAGCAGGTAAGGTCACAAGCAGGTAAGGTCACAAGCAGGTAAGGTCACAAGCAGGTAAGGTCACAAGCAGGAAAGATCACAAGCAGGTAAGGTCACAAGCAGGTAAGGTCACAAGCAGGTAAGGTCACAAGCAGGTAAGGTCACAAGCAGGTAAGGTCACAAACAGGTAAGGTCACAAACAGGTCAGGTTCACATGCTCACATCACAACAAACTGACAAAGTTATTCTTAGTTGTGCATAATTAACTTTACATAAGTAACCAGCGTACATCAATCTGATAATCAATAAGTATAATTACCGGTGCATCAATAACCCTTCAACTGGTTACATTCTCATAATAATATTCACATATAAAATACCAAAGTTCTGATCCTTTGATATAAGTTTGTCTTTTAAATTTGTATAATAGTGACTGGTTGTGCGGTTGCGCAACAGCTAACATATGTTGTGTTATGAGGTACCATAGTGTGTTATGAGGTACCATAGTGAGTTATGAGGTACCATAGTGTGTTATGAGGTACCATAGTGTGTTATGAGGTACCATAGTGTGTTATGAGGTACCATAGTGTGTTATGAGGTACCATAGTGTGTTATGAGGTACCATAGTGAGTTATGAGGTACCATAGTGTGTTATGAGGTACCATAGTGTGTTATGAGGTACCATAGTGAGTTATGAGGTACCATAGTGTGTTATGAGGTACCATAGTGTGTTATGAGGTACCATAGTGTGTTATGAGGTACCATAGTGTGTTATGAGGTACCATAGTGAGTTATGAGGTACCATAGTGTGTTATGAGGTACCATAGTGTGTTATGAGGTACCATAGTGTGTTATGAGGTACCATAGTGTGTTATGAGGTGCCATAGTGTGTTATGAGGTACCATAGTGTGTTATGAGGTACCATAGTGTGTTATGAGGTACCATAGTGTGTTATGAGGTACCATAGTGTGTTATGAGGTACCATAGTGAGTTATGAGGTACCATAGTGAGTTATGAGGTACCATAATGTGTTATGAGGTACCATAGTGAGTTATGAGGTACCATAGTGTGTTATGAGGTACCATAATGTGTTATGAGGTACCATAGTGAGTTATGAGGTACCATAATGTGTTATGAGGTACCATAGTGAGTTATGAGGTACCATAATGTGTTATGAGGTACCATAGTGAGTTATGAGGTACCATAATGAGTTATGAGGTACCATAGTGTGTTATGAGGTACCATAGTGTGTTATGAGGTACCATAGTGAGTTATGAGGTACCATAGTGTGTTATGAGGTACCATAGTGTGTTATGAGGTACCATAGTGAGTTATGAGGTACCATAGTGTGTTATGAGGTACCATAATGTGTTATGAGGTATGACTGTACAGCTTGTGGCACCAACAGGGATGGTGGCCGTGGTGGTGGGGATCCTGACGGCGGCCAGCGGGATCCTCTGCATCAGGCTCCGTAGGGCCCAGAAGCCTGAAGAAGTACCCGCGCCCTCAACGCCCTTCGTCAACCATTACAAGTCTGATTTTGTCCCGTCCTCTAAACGGAGATTGGAATGAAAACGTTGGTCATTTAGCCCCCATTCTCTCGTTAATGGTCACGATACGAGAACATGAACTATCACCAGGTCCCACGCTGGGAACTTACTCGCCTCGTAACAGCTGGACACACGTTAAATAGTTGTGTATAACGACAAAAATTGAGTTGGAGAGGCTGCGTCATTTGGTATAATGTGAGGGTATAGAGAGAGGAAGGTAGGGTGATATATGTGGAGTCAGTGGTTGAGGGTTCAGGTATATGTAGGGTGGCTAGGCTCCCGGCCAGTCTCACTAGGCTCCATTCTCAGTCTTATACACAATACCTAATATTCAAAATTTCACTGAACTTCATTTAAATAAATATGGGTTGAGGTGTCTTTTTTTTAACTATAAACCAAAATAAAATTGAGTCTAAAACTAATTATAACCATAAAATGAAATATTTTTACTTCTGTAATTGTAGCAATACGAATATAACAATCATTTATTATTTCACATTAAAAAAATTGGTTTCACTTTCTAACATGGGAGCCCCTTCATTAAATATTAAACATACACTGGCAGTTACACCCGTGCAGGACTTCTCATCCCTGTGACTACACATGAAATTCTCGCAAATATTTGCACAGAATTGACTGGTTCCCGCCACCAGAGGTCTCTAAATGTTACGAGAACGGAATGTTTTCACATTGGATCCGCGCGGGAAGTCTTGATAACATAACAACACGGCCTAGTTAATCCTTACAAAGATCCTGGTCCTCCAGATCAGATATATTGCCAACAAGTACAAAATCTTATGTTATTTTTTTTTTGTCCCACACTAGCTGGGCACCCGGCGTTGCTCGGGTGCTGGAGATGTTAGCTCCAGCACCCGAGCACAGTCTCCATCACTACACAGTCTCCATCACTATAGCCAACTACACTACACACGACCTTAATAACTAACCACCTGTACAATCACCTTCATCACTGTAACTGTCTTCATCATACACAACCATCGTCGCTGCAACCATCTTCACTACACACAAGTTTGACTGTAGCCACTTACGCTGTCTTAGCGAAGACAGATGAAGACAGCGAAGATGGAGTCTGATGTTTAGCAAGCTTTTGGTATATTAATGGGGGACAATGGGACAGATCTCGACCTTCTCCTATGACTCTGCCCTAACACTTTACCAGCCACCCTGAAAAGTTTGGCGAGGCTGTGTACTCCAACCTGAGACAAACAGGAAAAATTATATTTCAAATATGTACAAAACAACTAGTTTTCCCCCCTGATAACAAAACTTTTCATTAGTAGGTGTCCACGAGAAGGCACAGCAAGATCAAAATGTTGATAGTTTTACTCTTGATTTAGTGGAGACGCGCATGTACACCTTGAGTGCACACCATGGGAGAGCAGGAGTCTCCAGCAACACTACACTGTTGTGACACACACACACACCAGGTGTCAGGGCATTCTTCAGGCATTTCGGACCAAACTGCTATCGTGTTTATGTCTGAGAACTTGTACAAACCTATTTATTTGTTATTTAGATTTAGTATAGCCATATTTTTAAGCTGGTATTTTTTTATGTTTTAAATGTAGTGAAACTGAAAATAAAACTTCCTCCGATTAATCGTCAATATATGTGGAAAATTATTTGTATTTTTTCCTGACACTTAAGCAACACTTGTGTTGATTTGAATCAACAGTGTTTTGTGTTGATTTTGAAGTTTTGAAGAAATTTTGAAGTTTCCCTGCTTTTAACACTTGGTCTTAACTGAAACTTGTCATCTTCCATCAGGAGTTCTTAACAGATTCATTTTGGGGTTCATTAGCTATTATTCATCAATTGTTGAAAACTTAAAATCTCACTCATTAAAGTTTACTACTTTTATAAATATATAAATTACTGATAACTTCTAAAATTAGGAACAGATTTTAAGTATTAAAACAAATAGAACTGGTTTGGTGTTAGGCCTAAGGCCTCTTAACCGCAAGAGAACTATGGTCAAGTACTCAGTGATCAGCTGGCAAGTATACTGTAGCCCTGAACACAGGGGAAGACTACAGTATACTCTCTATGTATACTCACGGAGAAATTGTTATACCTCTAAGTGTATAAACCTTATCCTTGTATGAGACAAGATGCTCGCTTTAAATACTAAAACAAATCATGTTCTTTTAACATATAATGAAACAGTTGAATAACATTTCTAAACTACCTGTAAATACATATATTTATTAAATTAGTCTATATATAAATCTAAAATGTGTTTTATTTACATCTCAAATTGGGGATCTGGGTTGTTAATTACTCCAGGACTCTGGGATCTTGGTGCTGTTGTTCAACACTACAATACTTCTCTGGTGGGAGACCACACCTCATACTAGCAAGAGCACACCTCACACTAGCAAGACCACACCTCACACTAACAATAGCACACCTCACACTAACAAGACCACACCTCACACTAACAAGACCACACCTCACACCAACAAGAGCACACCTCACACCAACAAGACCACACCTCACACCAACAAGACCACACCTCACACCAACAAGACCACACCTCACACCAACAAGACCACACCTCACACTAACAAGACCACACCTCACACCAACAAGACCACACCACACACCAACAAGACCACACCTCACACTAACAAGACCACACCTCACACTAACAAGACCACACCTCACACTAACAAGACCACACCTCACACCAACAAGACCACACCTCACACCAACAAGACCACACCTCACACCAACAAGACCACACCTCACACCAACAAGACCACACCTCACACCAACAAGACCACACCACACACTAACAAGACCACACCACACACCAACAAGACCACACCTCACACCAACAAGACCACACCACACACCAACAAGACCACACCTCACACCAACAAGACCACACCACACACTAACAAGACCACACCACACACCAACAAGACCACACCACACACCAACAAGACCACACCTCACACCAACAAGACCACACCACACACTAACAAGACCACACCACATACCAACAAGACCACACCACACACCAACAAGACCACACCACACACCAACAAGACCACACCACACACTAACAAGACCACACCACACACTAACAAGACCACACCACACACTAACAAGACCACACCACACACCAACAAGACCACACCTCACACCAACAAGACCACACCTCACACCAACAAGACCACACCTCACACTAACAAGACCACACCACACACCAACAAGACCACACCACACACCAACAAGACCACACCACACACCAACAAGAGCACACCTCACACCAACAAGACCACACCTCACACCAACAAGACCACACCACACACCAACAAGACCACACCTCACACCAACAAGACCACACCTCACACCAACAAGACCACACCTCACACCAACAAGACCACACCTCACACCAACAAGACCACACCTCACACCAACAAGACCACACCTCACACCAACAAGACCACACCACACATCAACAAGACCACACCACACACCAACAAGAGCACACCTCACACCAACAAGACCACACCTCACACCAACAAGACCACACCTCACACCAACAAGACCACACCTCACACCAACAAGACCACACCTCACACCAACAAGACCACACCTCACACCAACAAGACCACACCTCACACCAACAAGACCTGTGGGAACCGACCTGTGAGATTTATATTTATTTAATTTATATGAATTTATATTTACGTTAATTTATATACTTCGATAGCAATTTGTATGATGTTAAGTGGACTGTATTTCTGCAATAATCTCACAAATCGATCCACTACACATTAGGGGGGGTTTATATTGAATTTATATATATGCAGCCAATCAAACTACAGTATTAACTACACATATTAGTATACATTGAGGAGGTTCCTTATCTTATGGTACAGTAGGCCTTAGTCCACTCCTTATCTTATGGTACAGTAGGCCTTAGTCCACCAGGTATAACTAGGATGTAGATACCAAATTATCCTCATTTGAGGCTGCTGCCAACACCCAGTAACTGATTCACAAAGCTTGCTTCCTCTTCTTGACCTGTCAAAAGGGCGCTAGCTAAAAGTCAGAATCCATTAAATTAGCCATTAAATTAGTCTTCTAATTTTTCTAGTCTATACTACTACTACTTTTTGACATGCTATATCAGCTATAACATGATATGACAGCTATATCAGAGAAAACACTGTATAATGAATTATAAAGACCAAGGCTTAATTACCTTTTTTGAGTCGATCATTTGTAATCTCACATTTGTAATCTCACCGGTTCGCCCAATATCTACCTAACATTAATGGCCAAAAATGATTAGATAAACGGGTTTCGAAAAGACACCTCCCTTGTATTTGTTGACAGCGTGTTGATGATGGCAGACCTTTGGTTTCCATAACACTTCGTCCAAGAGAATTTATATAGGAGCCGAATTTGCCCCACGACTCTGTGGTCTAACAACAATGGCTGACTACTCCTTCCTCACTGATGCCTGGCCTACTTTGTACAGATATCAGAAAGTGATAGAAGGGTCACATTTACTCTATTTTAATATTGATAATTTAGTTAATTTATATGAGATGTTTTATGATGGTAAAAGTCCAAAGACTAATGTATTTAAGAATAATTCCCACCATAATAGGTGGTGAATTTATAATAGTATGTGGCAATGATATCCCATTTTCTAAAGACGGAAAGTTCCACTACAAGTTACATTTCCTACGGGTAATTTGTTTATACAACGCAGCAATATTATCTGCAATTGCATTGATATTATTAAATGGTGTCGGATTTTGCGACATAATTCCCCGGGGGCTGCTCACGGGTCGCAGTCCTATTTAGAACAGACGAACACCGATACTCCTCCTTCGAATTATTAGATTAATTTAATGTTAGTAGTTAGTAATCACACATTTGTGCGTCTGTTCGTACAGGACGGATGTCTTGTACTAGAGTTACAGGGGATAGAAGTCTAATGCGATTTCATTTCCCTGTTAACTCTTGAAAGGCTAAAATTCAAGCCTAATTACATATTATTTAACCCAGAAGACTGAATGTGATCAAGTACTACAGTCAAGTATGATTC